CCAGGGGCAAGAAACGCACTTTGCGGGCAGAAAAAGTATCCCCCAGAGAGAGTTGTGGCAACGGTAACCCTCCTCATCCGCACATCCTCAAGTGTTTGAATAATGGAAAATTATGAAAAATTATAACAACAACAGCCGCCACACAATCAGAGCGTGCGAGGGAGGGGGTGTGAGATTTTGCGGGCAGAAAAGTGGGCAGCGTTTGAGTGGATGAGTGGGGTGGTGAGTGGTGTGGCATTTGAGTGGGTGGTGGTGGTGGTGGTGGTTTCTGACCCCATAACACATGTTTTCTGCCTGATGGATGGGATGTACATATACCCCGCTGTTCCCTGTGCCCTGGGGCGACCTATGCTGACACAGAGGAGAATTCACTCTCGGAAAAATTAACGAAAATCTGCTGATTCCAGCTCATTGCCGTTTCATTGCGGGGGCGTGTTTATTATTATGTCTAAGGAGAGAGAGACAATAATAATATTTTAGTTAATTGCCACGCAGGTGGCCCTGCAAGCCACTCACTCTCAATTGTGCAACATCAAAAGCGGCAAACAGATCATCTCATCCTTAAAAAGGGTCCGGCGCAAGAGAGAGAGAGAGAGAGAGAGAGAGAAGTGGTGACAAGACCTTTTACAGTCCTGGCCACACAATAAAGATCAGAGTTCACAATGGAAGCAGAGTGGTGAGTAGGAGAGTAGAAGAGTAGGAGAAGGCGCGATGAGTGGGCACATTCTTCTGCTGGGCTGCCTCATCTTCTTCTTCTTGCCAGCACTTGTGTGCTGTGACCCTTTCCTTTCCCATTTGAGAGCCAGTGCGAGGGAGAGGGTAACATCAATATTTATAGAGAGGAAGGACAGAGAGCGAGACTCGAGAGAGCAGCAGCAGCAGCAGCAGTAGCAGCACAAATTATGCCAAGCCTGGAGATGATTACTAATTTCTTGGCGACGAACAAAGACAAATATTTGCCCAGCGCTTGAAGACGGCCTCTGTCTCGCTCTCCCTCCCAAAGTTGTTGTTGATTCGGCCCGAGACTGTGCAGACGAAGAAGTATTATAAGTGGTAGAGCAGCGGGTGGCGGAGTAGTAGCCGAAGCAGTAGCCGATCAGAAAAACGGAATCACCTCAATCACTTGAGCTGCGGGATTAGGCGTATTTGACTTGCACGCACCACAGACGACGACGTCGATAAGCAAAATAAAAAAAAAACAGGGAGAGGGAGTGGGAGTGGGAGCGATGAGCACAAGGAATGCTAAGTAGCAGGTTAGGCCAGACCAAGAGAGATGGAGCTAATTTTATGTACTTTCTGTTCGAAACTAAGAAACGAAATGAAATGGAAAAATACATACATACATATAGGTAAGCAGCATTATGTACGATCATTGGGCAAACCTCACCTAGCATTAGCATACCTTGCAGCTATGCTGAGAGCATAAATTTAAATGAGAGTGAGATAGCAACGCGACCGCAGCCAAAGACAAAGCGAGACAGCAGCATGTCTGGAAAAGGCTTTTGTTTGCGGGTCGCATTGGAATCCCGTTTGTTTGCTCTCGTGAATGTGCAAAAGAGTGTGAGTGATTAAAAGAGTGCGAGAGTATGTTAATGAGTGAGTGAGAGAGAGACAGATACGTGTGTGTGTGTGAGCTACTGTTTTACCCGACCGGTAGGGTCTCGTAGCTCGTCTCTCTGTCGATCTCGAGTGTCTAAATAAAAATAATAATTGTAAATGATGAAGTCAAAATAAGCAGATCATTTAAATGCTGCTACCGCGATGATGATGATGATCGTCTCTCGTTCGATGGGAAGCCGTCAAGGCTCTCTCTCGCTCTCTAGAGGGCATGGCAGAAGTCTATGGGAACTTGGTTTTGGTTGGAGATTTATTCATGAAACTTTTTATGCCGTAATTCTGTGATGAGGAGGTGGCACAGGAAATAAGTTTTGCTGAAAATGTTCCATCGTAACTTGGCGCACAGATGAAATATGTTGATGAAAATTGTTATGCACAGTTTCCAAATTAAAAGATTGCATTGCAAACACAAATTGAACACAAATATCATATGCCCAAAAATATATCAAATACTTTTTTTTTCCGTTTTAAAATATGAATTTCATTGCCTAAATCCGCAGCAGCCATAATTGATCATCCATGTCATATAGCCCTTCATTTTCCATATAAGGTGGGCATAGTTTTGTTTTTGTTGTATTTGTTGTCTGTTTTCTCTTTGTTATTGCTGCTGTTTGTGTTGGCCAAGATTTTCAATAATTATTGCCACTTATGGTGGGTTCGCTTGGGGTCTTAGAGAGACAGAGACGGTACCCCCAAAAGCATGGGCGTAGAGTGAGAGAGAAGAGGAGGCAGTAGAGGCAGAGGCAGGGTGCACAGAGACGCTTTTTTTTCGAGTGGCAACACTTGGCATGCAAATATGCTAAACAGTAGCTGGCCAGCACCAGCAGCAAGATGGGGCAGGAGATGGGGCAGGAGATGGGGCAGCAGATGGAGCAGGCGAAGCACTGTGTGGTGGCACTGTGGCAGCTGTATCTCTCAAGTTGATTATGCTGCTTAAGTCAATGACGCGACGATGACTGAGCACAAGATTTGGTTATGGATTTCGTTTGGCTTCTCTTCTCTCTCTCTCTCTGCTGTCAGAGACAGATTTGAAGTCTCTCTTTTGTTTGTGTGTTGTATGTTAATTAGTCGCCTCCTCCTCCCCCAGCGCCCTGCTGCCGCTGCCTCCCCCCCCTCCCCAATGAGGCAGCAAGTTTTGTGCTTCTAGCGATTTCAATTAGTTAAGAGAGAAATCTATGCCCTCCCGCTCCCCCTCTAACGTCTAGATATCTCCACCTCTCTCTAAGCAACAACCTGCGTCCTAATCCGCTTAGGAATCTGTGTCTGTGTCCGCAGTGCCGCGGGTTAAATTTGTCGCCTAATGGCAGGCGTCGTGTCAATTTGTCCCCAGGATATACTTTCCTGCTCATTATCCATTATCCTTTTGGCTGGGCTGGGAGGGGTGTAGAATGTTGCCTAAGTTGTCTTAAGCTCAAGTCTAAACAGGCACCCCACTCCCTGCTGCTGCACGGCACACGCAAATGTCAACAAATGTCGCACTTGTAAGCCTTCCCTCCTGCTTCCTGCCGCTGCAGGTGAGGGAGCAGCAGGCAGCCAGGCAGCAGGAAGCAGCAAGGGCTACCCTTTACGTAGATTAAACAAAAACTTTGACCCGCAACCAAACATATTTCCTGGGTAACACAAAACAGCAGCAGCAGCACAACGGAGTGTGGGCGGAGAAGCGGCATAAATCCTTATCAAATCAAAGACACTTTTCCACACGAAAATTAACTGCGACAAAAAATCGTATAACGCGCGGGGAAGGGTGGTTGGGGTGGGTGGGGGGTGGGTCTCTATTATCTGGTCCCATAAAATTACTTACAAATTAAATTGTCAACTTTTCGTCGTCGTTTTGTTTGTTTGTTTGCTATTTTGTTGGGTTTCCCAACCGCCGCCGACCCTCGACACTAATGGACTTTGAATCACACACACACACACACACACACAAATTGCCGCAGCAAGCAACATGCAGCAAGAGCACAGATTTGCCTCCTGCCAAAAACGAAGGGGGATGTTCCGCCTAAGCATGCCCCCGGGGGTAGGCTTTTCCTCAGAGAAAGAGCGAGAGAGAGAGAGAGAGAGAGAGGGAGACAGAATCCGCGGTATTTACATTGGCAATGATACGGCATAACCTCGGAAAATACGAGGGCTCGGGCCCGCCTGGGCTGCGTCCAACAATCCCATCCAGCGTTTATCCTGTTGCAAGGACCTCCTCTCCTCTCTCCTCGCTCTCTGTGTGTGTGTGTGTGTTCCCATTACCCAAATTAAGTGATTCCTTGGCATTGTTTTGGTTTTCCTGTGTGTGTGTCGAAGGAAGCCCCGCAAATGTTGCCCCGCTGCCGCCTTCTGACAACTAAATAAACACGAAATATTTCACAAGGGAACTGCTGATATCAGGGGAGATATATACCAGAGAGATACGAGATATTCACAGAAAAGCAGAGAGCGAGAGAGAGAGAGAGATTGCGATGCAGATGGATGTGAGGATGTGTGGCAGGGGCAGCATTCAATTGGTTTCACGCGGGGAATTAAAATGAGCGTGAAATTGGAGACCCAGCGAGAGATGAGTGAATGCCAGAGAATAAATATGTTGCAGAAGCAGACAAAGGCGCACAAGAGAAGCACCGAGATCCGAAGGAAAAAGGAGGAGAGGCGGCACTGGCAAAAGCAAATTTGATTAAACAGAAAAATGAACGAATTTTATGCAAATTTGATAGGCAGAAATGGCAGAATTTCCATCAGAAAAACTAGAGAAAAAAACATATAGAAATGACTGTGAATCGACAGGGCTAAGGATATTTATGGCGCAAAATTAATAGTGACTACTAAAGGTGCCTTCAAAAGAACACAGAGGCAAATAAAGTTAGAGAAAATAAATAAATAAATAATAAGAAAATAAGTATACTTGGAATATCATGTAAAATCAGTTGCGAATTATCAGAATTCCTAAGAATTCACGCATCATTTTTTTTTTGTAAACTCATAAATCATAAAACTCTTCTAAATCCAGATTAAAATTTAAATACTATTTTCTTTATATACAAAAAGTTTAATTACCCAAACACCCTTGCTAAGAATACATTAAAGATGGGATGTTAGCAGCTGTGTTTCGACAAGAAATTACTATAATATCTTACATATACATATAGAAGTATTCTTTCATAGCAAACTAACTCCATTGCCTCGACATTGGCTGCCTAGAGAAAGTTATTTCTAGATTTGTAGCCCATAATCCATCCCATACCTTCCTCAAAAGTCCGCTAATAGCCGCACTTATAAGTTTTCTCAGCAAGACATTTTTTAGCGAGACATTCCTTAGGAATTTCCCCTTCTTCCCCCCTCTATGCACTGCCATTTGTGTAATGCCCCACTTGAGATGGCAAAATTCAGCTTTAAAGACTCACCTCAACACGCTCCTCCTTGAGATCCACTTTGAGAGCCAGTTGCTCGCGCAGCACCACATCCGGATAGTGGGTCTTGTCGAACGTGGCCTCCAGTTGCTCCAGCTGCTCCTCCGTGAAGATGGTGCGATGCCGACGCTTGCGCTTGGGCGGCGGCCCGTGCCCCAGGTGGCTCAGATGGTGCTGGCCGTGATGGTGGCCCATGTGGTGCGGATGCGAGTGATGCGAATGGTGGTGCGGGTGATGGCCATGGCCGGCAAGACCAGCGGCAGCAGCAGCGGCCGCAGCGCCGTGTCCACTGACATGCGCCTGCATCTGGGCGGCGGCAACGTGGGCAACGGCTGCGGCATGCATATAATTTGGATAGAAATTGGGGTATGCCACTGCAAAAAGAAAACAAATACGAAAATTCATTATTTTGCCAGCACAAAAAAAAAACCAGCACAGGAAAAACCATCACGAGAAATGGGAGAGATCGAGGAGCATCCTTCAATCCTTAAAAATGCGCATAACCAAACGACGACGACGACGGCCATGTTGCGTGTGTGGCTTCCGTTTCCGGTTACCCCACAAAAAAAAAGCAAAAGAAAAGGTTTCCCACCCATTTTCCCTTTTTTTTTGTTTGTTAATATTCATGTCCTGCGGGGCACAGAGTCCTTTGAATGATTTACAAGAGACTCGTGCATAAAAATAATCATACGCTGGGCATACGAGAAGCAGATCCACTCTCTGACATAAGTCGCAGCTCCCACGCCACACCCCCCCCAGCCCACAGCCTCAATCCCCGATCCCCGGGAATCTGAGAGGCAACAATCTGCCAATGCAAATCCTCTCTCGGAACACGGAATGCGGAATCATCTTTTCCGGATCATTGCCTAATTATGAATAATGCCATTCACGATTCAGCAGGATTCACCCCCACCATTACCCACCCACCCATAAGGAGGGTTTTCTTTTTTTTTTTGCTCTGAGTGGCTGAGTGGCTTTTCCCTTAAGGTGTTTTCCCGGCTCAAGCGGAAGCCGCATCAATGCCAATAGACGTGGTGCTGTGGCATGGGGGAGGGCGGGGGGTGATTCAAAGGGGAAGCTTACCTAGAAAATCCGATGGCGAGGCCGCAAAACCGCTTGCTGCCGCCGCCGCCAGGTGCCCCAAATGCAGGCCAGGATGCTGCAACATGGCAGGAACCCGCTGCGGTCGTATCGGGCTGGCGGCGGCACTCGAACTCGAATTGGAGTTGGGTGAGGCGGGCGATTCGGTGCTCCGCTTGAGAGCTCCCAAACCCAAACCATTGCTGCCGCTGTGATTGTTGTGGTGGTTGTTGTTGTGGCAGCCACCGCTGCTGGAGTGGGAGTGCGAGGAGGAGCTGCCCTGCTGCTGGGCATTGACGCTGCGCGAGCCCAAAATGCTGTCGATGGTGAAGAGGGAGGCTGCCGCCGCGGACGCTGCCGTGGCGCCCACTGGCAGCCCGCGCGTCCGCTCCTCATCCAGTATGGTGACGCCCGACTGGCTGCCATCGTCCGAGGATGGCGTCTGCGACTGCGACTGCGTTTGATGGAGGTTCTGGTGCTGCTGCTGCTGTTGCTGCTGGAGCACCGATTGCAGCCGCTGGCCGAGGTAACCGCACTGCTGCGAGTTGAGGAGCATGGCGGTGGTCAGGTGATAGGCGGCATTGCTGCTGACATTCCCCGGGGAGCGAGAGATCTGGCGCGGCGGCTGCTGTACGTCCGACAGATCGCTGGGACACCGCTTGAGGGTGTAGCCCGCCGGCGGTGAATTCGTCTCCACCATCCCGCCGTGTGTGGGGGGAGTGGGCGGTGGCGAGGGGCTGGGCGTGGACACGACGGTGATCTTGAACTTGGCCTTCGAGGAGGCCACAACGCTGTGATGATGATGATGAGGATCGATGGTGGTGCTGCTGCTGCCACTGCCACTGCCTCCGCCGTTGGTTGCGCCGCTGCCGCCGCCCGCCAGTTGCGAAGCCGACGCTGGGGTCCACAGTGAGGACAGAATTTTGATGGATTTTCCGTTACGGTCTGCAGCAGCAAAAATTAATTACACTAGAACAAGCACTTTTCGGTGGGGGGTGGGGAGGGTGTACACACACAGAAGATCTCGATCTCTCTTTGTCACTGGGAAAACCCACACACGCGAAAATGCGGATTCTGTTTAAAGCGGATGCGAATGCGAATGCGGATGCGGATGCTGTGCTCTGTGGGAACCCTTCTTGTCCGCTCGAAGTGCGAAACCGTTATGAGTCGTCGTCTGTGACGTTGCGCGCAACGACAGCACACAGCAGCAGTCAAGCAGAGCAACTCACACACACACACACACACACACACACACACACATGCACACTCGTGCAGTTGCGGTCGTCTGTCTCTCTGGCAGCCAGACATTTTCGTGCCTTCCACAGCCAATGAGAGCAGAGCACAGGCCACGCCTCCCACTTGTTTTGGGCTTTGGCTTTCCATGTCGAAAAACCATATTGAAATGAGAGAGCAGAGCGCGCTCGCTCTCTCCCTCTCTCACTCTCTCGTAGCGGTGGTGGTGGTGGTTGTTTGTGCTGCTGCTTGCTGCTCTCTTTACTCATTTACCCGTTTACCGTTGCCTTGACAGAGGGGGGCCAAAAGATGGCGCTTGGCGCGGAGATAATTCTCAGCTGTCGCATGCAACCCCACTCCCACTCCCAATCCCCAACCCCCCACACACACTGCTCTTCTTTTGTAGCCTGGTGCGGGCGTCGCTGCTGCTGCTGCTGTTTCCTTTCTTTTCTCTTCTTTCTTTTATTCTCTTCTTTTTTTTTTGCTTTTTGCTTTTGACAGTTATTTATACAGATAAAGTCATCACTGACAGACCCCGCGGCCACCCACTCTTCCGCACAGCGGTGGACTGTCATGTGAGTGTGTGCGCGAGAGTGAGAGAGTGCGAGAGAGTGAGAGAGTGCGATAGAGTGTGATGGCTATATAGTGTCCATGCCGTTTGCTCATCCTGTTCAGTGGGTGCTTGATGCATAAAAATGTTGCCTTTGATAATGTGGAAAATCAGGAGAATGAGGGAGAATAAGCTTGAAGCGAAGGAGGAGTGGAGCAACGCCTCTGCTCTGCTCTCCTGCTGCTGCTGCTTTTGCTCTGCTCTGCTGCTGCTGCTCTACCCTCTGATATAGCGCGCCATATCTTAAGAAGATAATGACTAAATTAATGCTTTTATGTTTTTGGCAACACATAAACATCATTATGCGCTCAATCCTCGAGCGGCGCAAAACCGAAGCCGAAGCGAAGCGAAGCTCTGGGAACAGCGAGACACTTCGTGAGCAGGCAAGCGAAGAAAGGAAGGAGGGAGGGAAAGGCAAAGGCAAGACGAAGAAGTGTGGGTGCTGTAAGTCTACGTCCACTCCCTCGCCCTAATCATCTTTTTGGCGACTCTCTTGCTCGCATTCTCTTGCTCTGTGACTCTCTTGCTCTGGTGTGTGTGTGCTGTGTATTTGTGCATATGAAAATATTTTAATCTAAAGTTTCCACATCAAACAAAGGGCACAAAAGTGCAAAATCCCCAATGGCGCCCCTAGGGTCGTCATCGTCAACGTCGTTGTCGACGTTGTCGTCGCCAGCTTTTCGAAAATGCAGGCAAAACAAAAGCTAAGCTTTCGGCTAATGATAAATGCAACAGCTCCAAGGGTGAGGTGGCAACTCTGGCACACCCACACACACATACCCAGGAAATGTATGAAGCGAATGAAGCGTACAGTTTGGCCCCCTGCCCCAACCCACAACAACAAATGTCACAGATTGGATTGAGGAAGGAGTGAAAAAGAGCATCGTGGGAATGAGAGATGGGGGATCTGCATGTGTGTGTGTGTGTGTGTGTGTGTGTTATCCTACTGATTACAGGGGCCACAGCGAGTGAGGTGAGCCCCACATGAGCTCCACGTAAAAGGATGAAAGGATGATGATGGCCTGATGTCGTCCACTGTTGCCAAATGCTTTTAGAAATTATTGAATAATTAAGCAGCCAGCAGCCAAGAACAAAACCAGGGCACAGCAGCAGCAGCGCCAGGACATGCATTGGACCTTGTATCCCCCCCCTGATCCTACCCCTTTGTGTGTCCACTATTTGCCCTTGCACTGAACTTCTTACATGTAGCGTGGAATAATTCCCGACGGGAAAAGCGAAAGAAAACAGGATGGAAAGCTGCCTGGAAGCTAAGGAAACCATTGGATACTGTGGGATAAAGTCAGACGATATTTGTTACGATTAGTTGAAATTATGCTGCAGAATAAGTGAATATGGGAAAGCTATCATAAGATGTGCGGATTCCACATAGCATGAGAGAGAGAGTACGAAAAGAGTACAAGCCGAAGAATTACAAAATTATTTTTGAAGCTAAAACCGTTCTAAGACCTGAAATAAAAGGATAATAACATGGCAAGAAATATGAATAATCATACGATATTTTAGAATTTGCAAGAAGTCCAAAAAATTTTAAAAATGATTCAATAATTTTTGTAGAGTTTCCTTGGGGAATTAATACCTTATTTCAATATTTTAAGGTATTGAATCATTAAAGTTGGTGTGAAAAGGGAAAAGAGTTTTTTCAGTATAAATATACCAGCTTAAATATATGAAATTATAATATAGGTCTCATCATCACACTTATATCATTGGTAATGAAAATCTATTCGACTTTCAATTATGATTGGAATTTCTAAGCCACAGAACTCTGTTCAAGGATGATTTTTGTAATACATTTCTATATTAATTTACTATGAGAGCAATCTAAAGAGAATGATCTCTAGAGAGCTATTCAAACAAATTCTATTAATAAATTACTATGAGAACAATCTCTAGAGAACGATCTTTAGGGAATGATTTGTAGAGAATGATCTCTAGGGAAGTATTCAAACAAATCTTTACGTCTCGACTAAGCTTTAAAGTTGTGCTCCACGTGGGCCAGCTTCTCGACCTCCTACATGTATCCTGCACTACTTCCTACTTCCTACAGCATTCAGTATTTTTGTTCTTTACTTCTCTCTTTCTGCACTGATTTTTTGCACACTTTTTGCTGGTTGGGAGGGCTGGGTTGGGGGTTTTTGTTGTGTGCACTTTTTGTTTTAGTTTGTAGATTGAATTTTAAATAAAAAATTAAATTAACTTTCGCGTTTAAGTATTGTGTTTCAACTCTGCCCTTGCTCCCTCCCCCTCTCTCCCCCTCTCTGGCCTTTTCTTGCTTCGATTCTTTCGTCGATTGGCTCTTCGATTCGGGAAAAAGTTCAATTGGCAAAAGGACTAAGCAAACATTGTGGAATAAAAGGTTTTTCTACTTTTCCATTTGAACCACAACCACGGAAGTGTGGTGCCGCGTGGGGCAGTGTGGGATGGGGCAGGGGCAGGGGCAGGAGCAGCTCTTCAACTTTTTCTTCATTCTTCAGTTTTTTTTTTTTTGTTGTTGTCGATTTTTATTCGATTTTCCCTCCATGCCACACGATTTTCTCTCGCCACCGCATTTCATTCCACGCCCTGCGGGCCACATTTTCCACAGTTGTGCAAAATTAGAAAAGTTTCCTTTTCCTTTGCTCCATCTCTCTCTCTCTCTCTCTCTTTTCTCTGGCGCTTTTGTTGCCTTCTCTTTCTGTTTGCTTCCTAGAAGAGCAGAAGAGTGGTGTGGCGGGGGGCAAGAGAGAGAGAGTGTGAGAGTGCGGCATGTGCTTTGGGTATTTGTCTTGTTAAAAATTTAAGCGAATTTCCACAAGAAGCCAGAAATCGAAATCAGAAATCAGCTCCCGGAATCCGGAACCCAGAAATCAGATTGCGATTCAAGGATTCCATGAGGCAGAGGCAGCAGCAGCAGCAGCAGCAGCAGGAGAGCCTGCCGCTGACATTGATATGTTAATGAAGCCGCGGGGCAAGGCATGTGGCATTCAACATACACCATTCCAACCATACGGTGGTAATCCTTGCCAGCAGCAACCCCCCTGATAGACCCAGAGGCTGGAGAGATCGTATGGTCACACCGGTTTCTGGCTGCTGCCGCCGCTGCTGGCTGAATCCTCAATTAAATGTTTAATCCAAATATCGTTTTATGCCACGGCACAATGTTGCCTCATTCTGTGGGCAGCAACAGTGGAGAACGAAGCAAGCATCAAGGGATCATGTCAGGGGATCAGGGATTCGACGAGGATTCCAGGGATATTCAGGGATATTCGGGGATAAGTTTAATCTTGCGATATGCGTAAAGCGTGCAAATTGCTTCGATTACGAGGCACAGAGAGAGACGGCTAGAGAGAGAGACAAAGAGAGAGAAAGAAGACACGAACAAAAGGTGCAATAAAACCGATGGATGAATGACGGTGGAAAAAGGAAGCGGGGCGTGAGGGCCAAATACCAAAATGGTCGACCAAAACGATCAAAATAAAGGGGAGTGAGAATGAGCTAGAGAGAGAGAGGCATAGAGGGAGAGCTGAGGAGCGAGTGAGGTAGAGCAAGAGGGAGAGCAAACTAAAGAGAGAAACAGCAGCAGCGGCAGCAGCTGCACTTTTCCACATATCTGCCTTCGAATCCCTGCTGAAATCTGAATGTATGGGATCTATGGATGAATTCCCTGTGTTGGGCCCTGGGCTTATATTTGCGTAAACAACGCCACACTTTGGTCAGCAATTCTCTTTCCTTCTCCCGCTCTCTGTATTTGTGCAACGGCTTTTGAGGCAGAATTCAAGGATTCCAGAACTAGGGATACGCTTTGGGAAGGGGAAGAAAGGGGGCTCCCAGAGCCATAAAAGATGACAGATCAAAACACAAAACCCGCACACAAAAGTGAGAAATCATTCAGAGACAGGTCAGAGAGCCACAAGCGAAATTATCTACAGGGGGGAACAGGGCCTGATTATGTTGTTCTTCCTTTAAAGGATCTAAGCGATTAATGTGCGATGATTAGATATTTTATTCAGAGAAATATTGATTGAAAAGACTGTATAAATGCATGGGTTTAATTAAATCTGTGACTCTGAGGGAAACTTCTAAATTTTAGAGACGGTT